TAAGTCAAATGTCCTTCACTAGGAAACATTAAAATTTTTAAATTAATAACTATAAAAAAACTATCCACAATTGTTCTTCATTATCTAAATTATTGATTTATAGTATTTTCTGACTTTTGTCCCTATTAAAGTAAAGAGTCATAAATTTTGTCCCTCAAAAAAGGACATAAGTGATCTGTGAAATTTTATATGCTAAATACTTTAGGAACCCATCATTATTTATGTCTATCATAAATCATTGGCTGGAAGTGTGGATGGATAAATATTACATGAACTATGGTCTCTTCTCTTTTATTATATCTGAAAGTGTCATAGCTATAGAATAAGTATCTCTCTTATTGGAATGAAACCTCAAGAACTCACACTACTCTCGAAGACACAATCATTCTTTTATTCTAAAAATCACTTTAGTGTTTTTCCATTCTGATCCAAATGGTTTTTTTACCCTCGTATAACACAAAATGCTACTAAACTCATACTTTTTCTTTGAACACACTCAGTAATTGGTAACAGGCTGTAATCACCAGGATCAAAAGAAAGGTGCACTTCTCCTTTCTTGGAACTAGCAAGTTCATCATGGCTTATTAGTTGGGAGGACTCTGGAAGGATTGAAGATTCAATAAGGAATGTCTAATTTTTTTCTAGATAGTAGTAGTAGTAGAAATTTAATCCAACCAGATATTTCCAGATAACAAATCGTCTGATAAATCCATTAAAGGTCAGGTTTTAGAGAGTTTTATTGACATACAGTAAATGATATGTGTTTCCAAGTGACAACCTTTGTAATCTCTGCATTAATTTGTATATTATGTTATCAAAGTTAATAAACATGACTGAGCTTCTGTTTCAAAATATATATATATATATATAATAAAAACATATCATAATAGCATAATTGTGAATTTAAAATATATAATATAAAAAAAAAACAATATAACAAAAAATATATATATATTTATTATAAATATTTTAAATATTTGTATTATAAGTCAATTTATGATTCAACTCTTTCTGCTGATCCTCTGATTATATACAAAAAAGATATTCACAAAAAGTTTTAATACTTTTATACTAATAAAGTCTTACTACTTTCTTTAACCAACTTAAAGAGTTCTTTTCAAAACTCTCTTACATCCCCTCCATTTTATTTGCAATTTCCTTTGATCAAATTAAACTCTTGTGACCTACAAAGTTCAGTTCCCACCTTTATTACCAATTGCAAGAAAGTTTCTAAAGAAAAAAGGATCAATAGTACAGTACCTGTTACTTCTCAGCTATGGTGAAAAAACAATAAAGATTCTATTTCAGTCAAAGGACTTATTTTTTACCCTTTAACTGATATTGTAATCTCTAAGAGCTACCTTTTTTATAGTATTGGAGAATTTTGTCTACTCTAGTTTGATCTTAAAATTTTGGGTAGCACAGATCTTACTGATTATGATTGGTTGACATGAAACATGTTGGAAAAGATTGATAAACAAGCTTCTATTGATCAACTCATGTGTCTGAATGCATTTCCTTAGTTTTATAAGAACCTGGGATCTATTATAAGTTATATGTGTTGGTACAGATAGATATAAAACATGTTACTGATACATTATTGAATACAAAAAAGAGTCTGTCCAATAACAGCAAAGGTCACAGAGCTCGATTGATCTTTTTTCAAGTCAGAGCTGCCTACATTCTGATTGTATGTCAGATAGGTTCTCAATCTCTATTGCTTGGAAAAGTTTAAATCAAAGAAAGCAAGAAGCTATCAAGGATACTCAGTGATAAAGCTTGTATGCAAAACAACCTAGGAAGTTTTCATTTTATCTTCAAAAATTTCCAAATTGAAAGACTGGAAGACTAATGCTGCTTCACCAATTGAAACTCGAGTTTGAAAATATCAGTAGTAATGTACAAGCCTGCTGGATAATCTGGGAGATCCTTATTAATTGCTAATATCAATAGCCATCAGCAATGTATATCTATTGTGAAGCTAGGTGCTGTTTTTCATATAAGGAATTAAATCTGAAATAAGAGGCACAGATGGATAAGTATATCCATATTTAGATAGAAATGGATTTAATTGATGATATACTGAAAGACTTTCAAGTCATTTATATGGACATCAATATATTATTTGAGCCTTCCTGGTTACTTCCTTCCTATAAGCCTTAAAACTATAAAGTCTCTCTTTTAACCTTCAACTTATTTTCAAAAGACTCAATAAAAGTTTATCTCTTCAGACCTTCCTACAGGAGAATTTAAAACAAGATAGGCATGTGTCAAGAAACAAGACTGATATTCACTCAAAGTGATACATGACCATCCAATTTTCTTTTTATTTTCTTTTATTTTTATTTTCATAACACCAGCATGCTCTAGGGATGCTGATTTTTCTTTTGTAAAAAGAAAAGGCAATAAACCTCAATGTAACTTTAGAAATAGCTTTAGCTTATCATTATCTTTATCATTCCCAAATATACATCCTTGTACTCATGCTTTGCACAATGTATGTACAGTATGTAATTTAGAAAACAATAAAGTTAGGCATGAGCCCATCAAAAAAAAAAAAAAAAAAAATTTGTATTATAAGCTTTAGTTATATTAATTTCAAAAAATAATGCAATCATGTTTTAGCAAAAAAAAAAAAAAATTAATTCTTTACATTAATATTTAGACAATAGAAATTTTAACTATTAACAGTATTTGGTCAAATTGGAAAATTTTAATCTAAAAATTAATTACAAATTAATGGAATTAAATAAATATCTTACGATTTAATACAGTATATACCATTTATTATTTATGTGCGTACATATTTTGAAATAATTTGACGTATTCGCAAGGTTCCACACCAAAAATGGAACCCATCTAATGCGCCAATTTTTTTAGTAACAAAAAAAAAAAAAAAAATTCAGAAAAAAAGATATACACTGTGTATATACTATAATAATGACGGGGATTTTTCGTATCAAACGTTGATAAGTTACCATAGAACTTCACAATCAATTTAAACTTAAATGTTCAATAGTCCTGGTAAAATGTTGTCTATGTATTTTGCAGGGAATATGGGCACTTGAAGTTGGAGACGGGAACGGATATAGTCGGTTTGTATATCCAATCTATACCGGCGATATATAGTGTGACATCAATTTGAAGATTCAAAAGTGCTTGTTGTGTGCTCCCTTGATAATTCTTAACGCATGCACTAACAAGATCTTGGAAAGTTGGATCGTTGCTCTGTATGGGCTGATAGAAAACGTTTATCGGAACCGCGAGTGTCGATATAGAGCGAGGTTGAAGAGTGTAATTGGTGACGTTACCAGTGGCGATGGTTCCGCTATATGTGGATAGAGAAGCACTGTCGTAAACCTAGTAGGTGAAAAGGAAAAGTAATAAGAAAATTTAACCTTCCCAAAAAAAGAAGGAAAAGGGAATTCTTGGAAGAATACTCACTTTCACGCTGATTAAATTAAACTTGTATGGCACCCAATTAGCCCTGTTGTCAACTAAAACTTGAACATTCATTGACAAATTTACCAAAGGTGGCTGTTGTTTAAGGATTGGCTTGACATTTGATGGAAGAGTTTGACTGCCATCAATGGAGACTGAAGGCATGCGTGGCCAGACAAAGAACAAACATAGTGCTACAATCCCCAGAATGAAGAAGGTGATTATGACACAAATTTTCCTGGAACAACAACAGCAACGGGGTTTCCGTTCTTTAATCAACACCAGGTTCTCGCCGGCTACCGATTGACGCGCACTCTTTCCTCCACCTGGAAAATCGCGATCAGTGTAATCATCTTCAAAATCATTGGGAGGATCCATCAATACATCATTGGACTTTATCACTCTATTATTATTGAAGTCATTGTAAACATCGAATTGACCCGGAATTGGTTTAAACCCATTATTTTGCTCGCTCATCTCCGCAGAATTCGTGTATTGACCATAGGGATTCAAAGCAATTGAACTTTCATGTGTGTTACTCTTAACCGACGAGGCGTTTTCATCATCAGTTTCGTAGTGGTGCTCATTAACTGACAGGGACCTGTGACGTCCATTTGCATCCGCGGAACCATTCTTGCCTGGTTTAAACTGTGCACCCGAATTTGACTGAGAATAGACCGATAAAGCTTCGTCATCATCATCAGTCGTATACGTGCGGGAATCTAAAGGATGATTAAGGTTCGATTAACCATTGTATTTTATAAACTCGTTCAATTTTTTTATTTGGATTTTTGTAAATTTTTACGAGCACCTTACTTGTTTTCAAATTAGCTGGTAGAGTTCGACTATAACGACGTCCTCTATACGGCTCGTTTAGTTCTTGTGCGTATGGACTAGAATAGGCCCTTTGTGAGCCGGATCTTCGGCTATAATCTGAAGTATTAATGTTGTATGATTGCATTTGTTCGATTTCAGTGAAGTTAAGCCAATAAGTTTCGTTATAAAATGCGAGTGGAGTTCACTACATGATAGATTTTTCATTACTAATCTAGGCAAATTGAATCTCATTACACTTTTTTTTTTTTTAATATACACCCAGAAGGAAAAAGAAACAGCATAACGTTCAAAGTATTTATCATTACTTCGGCCTCTACCTTTTGATAAAGAACCACAAGAAATAAACTTTTTTTTTTCTCACCTCACCGAAGCGCAAAAAGCCCTTTCAAGTTACGCCAGGTTTTGAGATTCTTTTCTTGTAATGGTTGCTTAACAGTGACACTTTTAGATTCACTTTCCTGAAAAAGAATATATAAATATTTAGTATTAAATTTAAAGTGTGCACGCACTCCATGATATAATTATAGTGAACCACGTGATAAAATAGCCTATAAATAACTTATAGGCGTCAAATTTAAACCTTTAGCTGCCAAAAGACCAAGAGTATTTGGATAAAGATGTTCCTGTAGGTACTATTTTGAATACGACTTTCGAAAACACCATCTATATAATATATTTATGGAGAAGGTCGGGTCAACATATAACAAGTTTCTAATTTAATTTGTGTAAGGGTAATATGAACCATTTATAAGCATAGTCACACGCTTTTCATGTAATCTTCGTCAGTTACACAAATATATAGTGTATAAACAAGAGAAATGTTTAAGTACATACTTATTATTAGTCTTACCCCTTATCTGCATAAAAATCGTGTGATTGATAGATGGAATTTGTTACGATTGGTTTAATGATTTTTAATAAATATGTTGCATACTATATATACAGTGTCCATAAGGATCACTTTTATTTATTAAATAAACTTTTATGTATTAAGTAAATGCGTTCTGGATAATTATTGCATTTAATATTGTCTCTAAATAAAAATCTTTGAATTTTTTTTTAATTAAAAAATTTATTAGAAACATATTAATTAACTCTCTATTAGGCTAATTATAATATATATACAGTATTTTATTAAACCTTGATAAACTATATATATAAAATATACTATTAAAATTAAATTTTAATTAATTCACTTATTTTAATTATTATTATTTTAAGTATAATTTAAAAATAATTTATCATTTTATTAATAATATTTTTTATTTTTAATATTATTGTTTGCAAGTTATCATTGTAAATTACTTTTATAACTTTTAATAAAATTTATTTTATTTTATATTTAATTTCTTTTATTAAGATCTTTTTTAGATTCTAACTAACTTTTTTTCTTTAAATATTATTATTTTTATAATTATAATATTGATTTTCTAATTAGATAGATTTAAAAATTTTCTTATTATTTTATTTTATATATTTTCTATTCTTGTTTTTATTTAATTATTTTTTTATATTTTGTATTTCGGATTTTTTTAATCATTTATTTATTCAATTTTTCCATTATTTATAATTAATCTAATGTTTTTTTTATTTAATTTCTTTTTCCTTTATTAAAATTTTTTAAATTCATTAAGAATTTTTTTAATCCTTTATTTTATACTTTAAAATTTAATAATTTATATCTGAAAAATATTTTTATAGAATAATAATTATATATATTCCAAAAAATTTTTTCTACTATCATTAGTAAAATTCAAAAATCCTTTGTCACTATTTATTTTTTTTAGAATTTGATCAATATTTGATATATTTGAAATATTTCTATTATTAATTGTATTTTATCTAATACATTATTAATTAATATTTCTTTTTCAATCCATATTTATTTAACAAGTTATTTAATAATACTTAAAAAAGACAATATATAGAATTGATAATCAAATACTAGATTTAATTAAAATAAGATAGGTGAAAAAATCTAAATCATCTGATATAATTTTTATTGACAAAACATTTTCATATTATATTTGAATTACAACTAAAAATAGGATTTTAAAGGAGAAGAAGAACAAAAGTCAAATGTTTCTCACTAGGAAATATTAAAATTTTTAAATTAATAACTATAGAAAAACTATTCACAATTGGTTCCCATTATTCAAATCATTGATTTATAATATTTTCTAACTTTTGACTCTATTAAAATAAAGAATTATGAATTTTGTTTCTTAAAAAAAGATATAAGTGATTTGTAAAATTATATACTAAATACTTTAGAAATCTATTATTAGTTACAATATCTCTAGTCAATAGAATTTTATTTATATAGTATCAAATTTTTTAATATAAACTATTCATTTATATTTCCACACTATTAAAATTGTAATAATTATTTTCATAATTGATATTCTTCTTGTAATAATAATGTGATACTAGTGTTGAAATGTATTTACACACTTTTTGTGTTATAGAAATATCGTATAAAATTAAAATCAAGACTATTTAAATTATTTTTTTTCTTTATTTTTGATAATTGAATTAAGTTTTATTTCTTACTATAATTGTATTAATTCATTAACAAATGAAAAAAAGTAATAATTTATTTGATATAAACTTAGTTTACTATAATTTAATAATATATTAAGAATTAATATATTTTTATACTTAAATTGTATTTTGCATAACAAATTTATAATAATTATATATATAATCCTAATACTATATAATTTATTATTAAATAATTATAATCAGTCAATATTTAATATCAATTTCAAATATAAATTAGTTATATCATATAAAAGTTTGTCAATATTTGATTAATCTATCCAGTATTAAAAATTAGATTCAAAATTCAGATTTTTATATATTTACAACAATTAATATCAAATTGTATAATTTGAAAAAATTAAATTAAACTGATTAATTATACTATACTTTTATTTAATAATTTGATTGTGTAAATAATAGAGAATTGCAAATTTTTTTTCATTTTATTGCTAAATTAGAAAATTTAATATAAACACACTTCATAATTGATAACTAAAAACATTATTCTATTTATATAAATTGTAATGTCTTTTTTTGACATATTATAAAACCAATAAATTAATTGATAATTTAAGTATATTGTTGGTAGTATATAAAGATCTATAAAAGAGCCCAAATTCTTTACTACCAATTTCAATTAGTATTAATTTCATAAATTTTAACAATATATTTATTGCACTATTCAATAAATTAAATCAAACTTTATAGTTTATTTTTTTTTATTTTTTTTTTTTTACCCTCTGTCAGGTTAGTTAAATATGCTTTATTAAACATTTGTAAGCTATACATATTAAATGAAGTGCTAAGGCTAAATCTCTAACCAACTCACTCGTTTTGGTTATACTACCTCTCTAAGTGCAACTTTGGAAGTGATTTATCGCTCCGTTAGAGGTTCAGTTAAAGACCCTTCCAACTTCTAACATCATTGCCCGCAGGTCACTACTGCAGATTACTCTTTTGAGCTCTGACAGAGATCAAAACCCCAACCACTTAATACCATACTTCACTTCATTTATCAGAACTTTTTCTAATTTCTTATCTTCAACTCTTTTTTCTTCGTATATCAGTTTTTCACTGGATCGACTTTCTATAATGCTGCTCTTTCTTTTCTGGTTTCGTGGATGCGATGGTCTTTCTATCTTGTCATATTTGCGGATTCCTAATTTTTGCTCCCATTCAATTATCTTTTCACATCTTGCATT